ACGGACTGGAAAATACAAGCTCCCCCCCTGCGCTGCCTGAAACCCCCTCGAGCGGGGCCCGCGAACCCGACGACACGAATACGAGGGGCCAGGAACAAGGGCCCTATTTCTTAATGTCGCCCGGGAAGGGCTAGCCCACACGAAATTTTTTGTCATGTCGCGCTCACCAGGTCCCCGTCGGGGAAATTTCGACGCGCAGCCACCGTTCGATGCGGGGATCGAACAGTCGTGTGGTGGCGTATGGACCCTGCGCGAAATTCCGAAACGGAAGGCCCGAGGGGGCCTTGAGTCCCGCGCGCCTACAAGTACGAGCGGTGCCCTGGGCATTAATGATGCATTCTGCGTTTTTGCTGGGGAGATGCTGCTCGACGGAAGCCTCGCACCGCCACTGTTGTCAACAACACCACCCCGCACAGCTGGAGCGCCATAGCTGGCAAAGAGACGGGACAGCCATTCCTCACCGCGCTCGTTTCCTGGCACTGACGCACCCCGCATGCCCTCGTCTCTCCCTCCACCTTCGAAGTCGCTGTCCACGTCATATTCGACGTCGCGTGTCGACACTTCCGGCACCCACCACTCCACGCACTACCCTTGCAAACACAAAGCACTCCACGCAGTACACTCGCGAACAAAAAGCACAAGCCAAAAGGTTGACAGAGTGCTGTCTCGATTGACGGCGGGGATCGCGCGAATCTCCACTCAACAATCTCACACGGTGAGTGCGCCCGCAGCCGGGATGTGTGTGTGTTTGTGTGCGCGTGCGGGTGGGTTTTCTGATGATATGCTCGAGCAGAATGAAAGAGTTCGTGTTTGCGTGTGTGCAGGTGGATGTGTGTGTGTGTGTGTGTTTGTGTGCAAGTGTGTGTTTGTGCGTGCGTGTGTGTGTCTGTGTGATTGTTTTTGTGTGTGCGTATTCGAGTGCGTGTTTCATTGTGTGTGTGGTTGTATGACGTGTATGCCACACGCGTGAGGTAGGATCGTGCGCATATCAGGATCTGAGGGGCGTGTGTGTGTGTGGGCGCCGTGTGCGGGCGCGTGTGTGTGTGTGTGTGCGTGCGCCTGTCTGTGCATATTTGTGCGCGCGTGTGTGTGATTGAGCACATTGAACGCGCGAAGATGCGCGCGAAGGTGTGTGGTCTGGGATGATTGACATGTTTTGCACTTCCACTCTGCTTCTGCTGCAATTAGGGTTGAGAGGTGCAAAATACCCAACGATTGCGCAGGTTCTAACTCAGAACTGTATTCCGGTGTGCTCTTGTGGTGCTCAACTGCCGAATCACGAAAGGTCGTATCGAACACGCGGTGGCCAATCACGAAACACAATCACATCTTGAGCGCTGACCACACTCAATATGATCCTTTGTGCTATCCCAATGTCATATCCGCCGATCTGCCCAATGGATGATCGATCAAAACACGCGGTGGCAATATCGACACAGCGAACGCATCCGTCGACCAATCGCGAAACACGATCAGATCAATCGTGATCGGTCGATTCATCTTGTCTGGAGTGCCGACGTTATTACCGCGTGTGTGTTTTTCTTTTTGTGTGTGCGTGAGAGTGTGTGAGCTTCTGATGCATTCAACCGACCAACAGAGAAAACTCCGGTCGAACACGTGGTGACAGTGTCTAGAACATACACGCGATGAACCGACCCATCACGAAACATAAGCCGACCACTCGCGGTCGGGTGATTGATGTTGTTTGTTGTCGCAGCAATATCGCCCCTGATCCGCCTAACGGATGATTAATCAGTGGACGAGGAGACAACATCGGGATCGCAAACGCACCCATCCGACCAATCGCGAAACGCTAACAAATTACTCGCGATCGGTCCATTGATCGTGTGTGCCGTCTCGACGTTGTCACCACGTGTGTGTTTCGCTTGTCTCAATGGCAACATCAAAATACAAGCGGCGATGTGCGTGTTTGTGTGTGTGTGTGTGTGCGTGTGCGTGCGAGTGCTGTTTGAGCACCGTAACCTGTTATGTGTTTCGGCAGGCGATGTGCGTGTGCGTGCGTCTGCATGTGCGCGTGCACGATCAACCCGTCGGCGAGCGAACAGTCGATTGGTTAGGACATCTGCCATGATCAACTATTTGATCGGGTGCTCTGTTGGCGGTTGCTCGACTGGTTGATCAACCAGCACACCAACCTCCAACCAAGCACCCGATCAAACAGTTGATCCTGGCAGATTTCCTATCCCATCGTGTTCTGTAGAAGACTATCAACAAGTTCGATAGACCGGTCGCTCGCCGACCAGATCATCAATCTCCAGACGTTGGAAGCAGCGGCATCGAGCGACCGATCTGCGACAAATCTGTTCTTCGCAGAGAATCCACAAGGCAATTGATCATGTGCCCGCGAACGGATCGCAGAAGGCAATTGATCATGTGCCCGCGAACGGATCACACAATGTTGTTGCTCATCCAACCTTGTATAACATCGAACCATGTTGGGCATGGAACCGGGGTTCACATCATACCTCGGCGGGCGTCGAACCTCGTCGGACGTCGAACTTTGGCGAACTGATTGCGCAATCAAACTGAACTGATTGCACAATCAAACACCGGAAGAAGTTCGCATTCCGGCGAGCTTGTACACTTGTTCGAACACGTTTCGCAACCCCACTCCACAACCACAGTCGAGGATGTGTAGGAATTCGAAGTCCGCCGGGATCCGAACTTCAAGAAATTGTTAGACGGCGAGTTTGGTAGACAGGTGTGTCTCTCCCACGCAATTTCGCCAAGGTCGGATCCCGGCAAACTTCATGTTCCCGCCTTTTGGAAGACATGTTTGCGGCCCGCCTGCAGGCCTGTGGATCCGAACCTCGCTTGCAAGGTTCCTTGTACAATCGTCAAGTCCGGACCTCGGTGAACTTCGGTTTGGTGAAAATGCGAAGTCCGCTGGGATCCGGATTTCTCCTGCACAGTTCCTCGCACATACGTCAAGTTCGGACCCCGGCGAACTTCGCTTTTCGCATTGTTTGGGTTCAGAATGCGGACTTGCTGGCGCCTAGGGGATTGCCACAACCTCGGATTCGTAAACACTTGAAGTCCGCCGGGATCCGAACTTCTCGCGAACAGCTCCTCGTTCAATCGCCGAGTTGGCCGAGTTCTGACTGCCCACAACCACAGCCCGTACTTTTCGTGCACGGTTCCTCGTCCCATCGTCGAATTCGCCGACAGTGTCTCTGCCACGTGATTTCGCCAAGTTTGGATCCCCTCGAACTTGAGATTTCCTCCTTTCGCAATTCATGTTTGCGGCCCACCTGCCGGGCCGTGGATCCGAACCTGTCGTGCACGGTTCCTCGGACAGTCGTCAATTTCGAATCCCGGCGAACATCAGATCCGACAAAATGCGAAGTCCGCTGGGATCCGAACTTCTCGTGCACGGTTCCTCATTCAGTCGTCAAGTTCGGACCCAGGCGTGCTTCAATGTTCGGGTGGTGTGGGTTCTGAATATGGAGTTTCTAGCGCCCGGTGGATTGCCACAACTTTGGATTCGTAAAAATGTGAAGTCCGCCGGGATCCGAACTTCAAGAAAGTTCGGGACGGCGAGTTTGAGAGACAGCTTTTGTCTCTCCTGCGCAGTCTCACCAAGTTCGGATCACGGCAGACATGAGGTTCCCGCCTCTCGTGGGACATGTTTGCGGCTGGCCTACTGGCCGGTAGAAGTGAACACCAACCAAGTTGACCACCCGAATTCAGATCTTTGAGCGTGCGCTCCGTCTAATGCCATAGGTCGCAGATCGCGAAACACGACGTGTTTACGAGTGTCTCCGTGCCCGTGTGTGTCGTTTGGCATGTGCGCGTGGTGTGTAGGGTGCGTAATGGAGGCGACCTTCTCGACACCACGAATCACGGAGTCGATGTTCTCGACACCACGGACCATGAGTCCCGAGACGCACATTTACTTGGCAGAACCGTTTCATCCTTGTGCGCGATCCGTGCGGTATTTTAACGGTGTAACTACGATCTACGGAGCGACCGCAGAGGACTTCGACGAGGACCCCTGGATGACCGTCGTCCCGTGCATGGACGGGCATATTGACGGTTGGTGCGATGGGAATTGGGCCACGATGGAGAGTCGCTGTCCTTGGGCAAGCCAGTAAAAGTTCGCCAACATGTTGGAGTTCGGGAACCTCATCCCGGTGTCTGACGCTGTCCTCGGACACAAGTTCCTGAACCATATGCGCAGAGCACTAGGCTGCATTAGCCGCCATTTCAGCTGCCTCGAGTGCCACTACGTCAGGTTGTCGCCACGAACTTGGGGAGGCCCGCAGAAACAAGAGTTGGTGGACTGCGCTCATCACTGCTCGTTCCTAGAGCAGTACCCGCTCCGGTGCCCCGGGAATTCTCCACAAGCTGTGTCATACTGTTGTGTGCGATTGACTGTGTCCGGGTCTGATTTCGCTAGAGTTCTATGTGGCGCAGCTTCGAACAAGGGCAAGAAACTCGTCGATGCAGTTGTGCTTGTATCACGGAAGGAGGTGGTGATTGAGGGGTCCAAATTCGTGCGGACGAGCGGGCCTGAACGTGTAGATGGGTGGCGCGATTTGGTGATAGTAGGGCGGGTCCAAGACTTTTCGTTGCATCGTGAGGTCGAGGGGAAAGTGTCCGATATACAGGACTGTATAGGGAATTCCTTAGCACGACCGAGAGTGTTTGTTAGGATGAAATGCATATCCGTCTTTTCGGAGAGGGCATCGGTAGACGAACCGCAGATCAACATATACGGATTATCAATGAATGCTTTGTATGGCTTCGGTTCACGACATCGTCACAGGGGAACCCCGAATGTCGGCACATCTGAACTGGTAGTCAGTCCTGGTGTTTAAGGGAAAAGAAGGGAGAGGTATGAGATGCTGTTGTGTTGCCTATACTATTAGATGTGTAGCAGTGGAGGGAGGTGTGAGAGGCAACAGTTGCTAGTAGACGCTACACCGCGCACTTGTCGTGCAAATCCCTGATCGTCGTTCAGTTCAACAACCAACGAAAATCATGTTGGAGGTCTATCTCTGATGCCGTCTCCTTCCTGTCGCGCCCCGGCGAAGTTCGGATCCCGGCGAGCTTCGCGTTTTGGGCTGTGCATTGATGTGTCTTTGGTACTGTTGGCGTCGGGCGGACCGCAAGAACCGCCGGGCACCACGAGCACGGTCTTGCTTGAGGCCGCGGCCTTCGAAAAGGTTATGCGACCAATTCCGCTTGGGCCTGTTCGCGATCTGACACCGCCGCCAACCGAACTTCAGAAACATTATCGGTGTTCGGTTGTCACCCGACCACCATCAACATGTGCCGAACAGTCGATCATTGTCGTTGCAAAATGCCAAAAGCACTCTTAGGGATCCCAGTCGAGAAATGTCAAAAACACTCTTAGGGATCCCAGTTGCGAATGAGCGCAGGGTCGCGCGAGCCTCGCGTTTCCTGAAACCTGTTAGAGATCCCGGTTTTTGGGCCCTCTTGTTGCATCTGGATCTGTTTTGAGCATAAACGAACTCAATAACTACTGCCATCAAAACCTGCGGTCAGCTGTGAAACCCCGAGTTCTCCCTCCAACACCTTGCTCGGACCCCAACTTGCGTCTAACCTCATACGTGATCCAGTGTTTCTCTCTGTGTATCTTTCTCGCAGCGTCCTGAAGTTCGGATCCCGGCAAACTTCCTGAAACGCCTGTGTATTGGACAGACACTGGTCTTCCTGATCCCCCGTGGATTGCGACAACCGCTATTGTCCGCCCTGCTCCACACGTTTCGTTTTGCCCCACCAGGGACCCATACACTGTTGTCACGGCTGCTGTGATATCAGAAGAAGTTCGGATTTCGGCGAACTTATCGTTCTCAACCGGCCTCTCATGTCTGTGTGGCATTCCCAGGTCGTGGTTGAGTCCACGGACCGTGTGTCTCTGACGTCGTCTCTGCCTGTCGCATCGTCCTGAAGTTCGGATCCCGGCGAACTTCACGTTTCGGGAGGTGCGTTGGTTTGTCTTCGGACATGCCCGTTCGGTGGTTCGCACAACCCGCCCGGCGACGGGGAGAGTCTGTCTCCGACTTCTGGTTTTGATCAAATACAGTTGCGGAGTATGTTCGCTCGAGCACGGTTCTGGAACGCCGGCTACATGGGCTGGCTGTTTCTCTCTTTCTGTCGCACCATCTTTTAGTCAAGACCTCGGCGGACTTCGAGTGGTAGCCTGTCCGGGTTCCGAGTGCTAAGCGGAGGACACTGCCCCGTCCAACGCGAGCTTCGAACATGACCTCCCGTTCATTCCCCATGTGGTCGGCATCTGTGTTTCGGAAATACCGATGTGGTTGTCGCCCGGCCGCATGACGTGTGTCCCTTTTTAAAGATTGACCTCGTTGCAGGTAAGAGGTCATTAAAGGTCTTCGTGTCCAAAGTTCGCCGGGATCCGAACTTCGAGGTCCTGGAACGGCGTCATGTGACCGGCGTGTTGGGCGCAATGTTTGTCGCCCGTGTTTTTTGCCTGCGTTGTATTTTGTCTGCGACTTGACGCTCTCTGGTGGTTCATTTGTTTTCCGTTGTCATCCGCAGACAAGATGTCTTCGTCGAGGGGCGAGGGGGAGCCTGCAGCGACCTCCGGGATGGGATCAGGGAAAGATTCCACAAAACGTTCGTCTACGAGGTCGTGGTCGGACCACGCAAGGTCGAAATGGTTCGTCGACTGGTGCTGTGGTGATGCTTTGAACCCAGTTCAACAGTCGTGTGGTCCTGTAATCTTCGTCGAAGCCAACAAGCGCTGCAGGGGTCTGGGGGCTGTCTTGTGATGGGAGAATGCGAAAGGCAGTCGACGATGGTTCTACATGAAAAATGTGTACGGTTCGAAGGGGAACGTCGTCGTCGGTGCCAAGGGGGCGGTTCTCGACATGTGTCTGTTCGAGGGGCTCGGAGCGGGTGCTGCAAACACCCCGTTCTACAACGACCTCCGGCGGCAGGGCGGGTTTGTTTTGGGTCGAGAGTTCTTCGACTTGTTGGAGGACAAGGACATCGCTCTCGACGTCCCTTGCGAAGTCGGTCCCGACCTGAAACTGATAATGCCTTTGCAACTGTGCGGGGGTTGTGAGTCGAGCGAGGCAGCGGGCGAGGGGGGGGATCTGGGTTCCGACGAGGCTACACATGTGCAGCGGGAGGATGCCAGAGGTCAGTTTGATGACAGCGAAGATGAGGCGACACCGCGTCCGCAGTTTTCACTGTCGAGGGAAAGAGACCGGTCCGTGCTGTCCATACCTGGGGTCCGGCTACAGACCCCGGTTCGACATGAGGTTGCAACAGATCCCGGAGAAGAGGCAGTCCAGTGTGGGTCCGACTTGGAGCCCGCCGAGGGCCATGGCGCGGACGACAAGGCCGTGGGCAGTGAGGGAGCGCAAGGAGCTCCCCAAAAAAGGAGGGGAGATTGTCAAGAGGACTTGGTAGGCTCTTCGAAGAAATAGAAGACCAGGACCTCGAAGACTATGGAGAGAAACGGAAGGGAAGGGGGGTGGAAGAGGACCACCCGGGTAGCAAACGTCCGGCTTCAAAACAGAAACAGCCTGCGTCAGGACCTTCCACGACAAGGCCTGCCATCGACGTGGACGCCGGGTACTTCCTGGAGTACAAAGATGGCGTCAGGACAAGGCGGGAGTTTGAGATTAGCCCGGCTCAGATCGTCGACCTCGGGGAGTGGGAGGATCTTTACAACCAGCGGTCGCTGGATCCCGTCCTCGTGGGAACGATAAAAGAAGCAATGCAGTATGCGTTCGAAAATAAAGAGCAGATGTACAAGTTGCCAATCTTCAAGCTCGCACCACTGGCCTTCAAAAACCAACTCCCGGGACCAAGGCACAACGTCTGAAGCCGGAGGAGTGGAAGGACGAGCTGGCGGGAGAACACTACTACTACGTGGTGTGCGGGCAGCATAACGCGGTTGCAACCCGGTCGTTGCTCGGGAGCGAGGTGGCCAAGAAGTACAATTTCGAGCGGTGGCCGGCGCGAATGCTTTACTTTTCGGACGACGACTTCGAAGGGTATTTTCTTGTTAGTTCACAGGACAACAAGAAGGACCTGAAGGCGCCTCCCAGACAATGGAAACTGTCTATGAAAGACATTCGGTGGCAGTGGAAGCATGACGGCTGCCCGAGAGCTGTGATGGGGAACCCTAGCGGGAAACAAGATCAGATTCGGGCTTGGCGTAAGTTTTGTACAACGGCGCTCCATAAGGCGCCTCACAACAGCCTGTGGATTCTCGCGGATCAAAAGGAAGAGAAGGCCCTTAAGAAGCAAAATGCTGCCCTGCGTTCTTATTTCCCTCTCGCGATGGCCGGAGAAAATGTCTAGAAACTGGCCGTGGAATTTTTCGAAAAATGGAAGACGGGTAGATTGCTTAGCCACGACGGAGCGAAGTGGATCGTCAAAAAGAAGAAGGTCAAAAACGTCAAGCCTGGGGTCGCCTACAACCACAACGAGAAGTTGGGCATAACTGAGGTGGTGTACAACGTCCCCGTGGACCCACCGAATAAGAAAGGCAAAAAGGAGAAAGAGGAGGGCGATTGGTTCGTGCAAGTGCCCGACCCGGACGCGCATTGTTGGAAAGCAATGGAATCACTCACGGACAATGAGAAGTGTCACGTTCTTAAGAAGGTGCTTGCTTGCAAGGTCGTTTGGGTCCAGGCCGGCTCCCCGTCGTTGGCGAAGTTGGGGAAGCTCAGCGTGCAAGACATGGTGCAGCTGGTGAAGTGCGACCTTGTGCTAGTCCGGTTGTGGAATTACTACCAATTCAAACACGAGAAGAGGCCGGACGCGGATTGGATCCAAAGGTACCCTTTCCTGAAATTGAGGTCTGCAGTGTTCAGGAAGTTTGAAAGTCAGGGATTGGATGACGAGTTGTGGGATAACAGCAGGAAACACGTTTCCGACTTGGCGCTGTTCAAGGACTGCCCGCCGTACATGGGTTGCGACCAGGAAAACTCGATTGAGGTGACGGAGAAGTTGGCGGGCCACAAGAAGTTGTCCGTCGACTGGAAAAACAAGGTTCTCTCCGTGTTGAATGGGAGCAGACTGAAGAGCCGGAAGGTCACCCTTGCCGAAGGCATTGTTGACATTAAATGGAAAGACACGGAGGACGTGACATCCATCGCGCCGTTCGCTAATGACCCTTTGGAGGTGGACATCAGGGGCGCAGAGCTGAAGGAAGCAGTGATTGCCACAAAGAGCCACACATTCGTCCTCGATCTGTGCGAGCCGGTTGACCTCAAACTGTGGAAGGCCCAAACGTGGGAGACTTTGGATTCCTATCTTCAGACGTGGTGTCCGTCGCATTGGACTCTCGTTGTTTTCGTGCCGCGGCAGCACAACCTCACGTTTCTCGCCAGCATGCACCATCTTTCTTTCATGAAGTTGTTGGAAGGGAAGTGGGTGAGGAGAGTTCAGCAAAAGAAAAGCTTCCCCGTTGGGAACAATTTGTACACGGAGGAAGACCACATGTACATCCTCTTCAAGGGTGACGATCTGCGCGCCAACACGTCTGTGGTCTACGAGGGAAACCTGCCCAGGGGTGCCGCTGCTGCGGTGCGATTGCCTCAGAGGGTCACCCAGACGGATGTGTCCGAGATTCCTTTTGTGCCTTGCGATTGGTCGCTGGTGGCGTCGGAACGACAGGGCAGTGTCTACGGGGATATGGAACGCAATCCGATACAATTTGTCGGTCTTTTTTATTTCCTTGGCAAGAAGGGAGAGGGTGTCGTGTTCCTTGGGAAACCGCACACGCGAAGCGTCTGGGATCTTCTGAAGGCCGGCCGGCACGTTGTCACGATGGAAGGGAACGCCGAGCTCTTGCAATTCACGATGCAGGTGGTGAAAAGCGAGGTCAATTCGGGCGGACACAATTGTGAGTTCATGGTCGTGAAGCCAACACGGGATAAGGTATGGAGCAACAAGACGGATATGTGGTTCAAGTTGAGCGAGAGGAAGAGGAACAAGATATACGATTTCTTGTTCCTTCAAATGCGGCCGAGGAAGGACACTGACGCCGAGTACGTCCGTCGGAAGGACCACATGTTGGCACTGCTCAACAACTACCACTTCGCCTCCCGCATGAACGCGAAGACGTTTCTCGATAGGCTGCAGTCGCTGTACTTCGTGGAGTCCGAGGAGCAGTTAAAGTTAGTCAGTTACGCTTCCCTGATCTCCACTGATGACGAGGAAGCCACAAGTGTGGAGTTTGACGCCAATGCGAAGGAGGAGGAGAGCGACAAAGAGAGCATTGACCTGCAATACGACCCACCTCTCGCGGACCACGGCAGAGGGTCCTCGTCGGCCGGTCCGTCACCGAGCGCTGCAGCCCTCGTGTCACCGTCGGCCAAACCGCCGCCGGGTACCACGCCGATGAAGTTGCTGGAGACACTCAAAGCTCTGGCCGTCCCCCCCCCACTTTGCGTCCCGGGTCCGACATCCCACCCGATCATCCATCTTGGAAGGATGACCACATCCACTTCCTGCTCAAGCCACAACGTCATTCACCTGAGCTAGAATGGGGCCATGACATGGTGTGGCATCCGGGAGTCATCCAGCCAGCGATACAAAAGGGCGAGTGGGTCATGGCCGTCGCAATCCCGGGCGCGGGATGGGTGTTATTCCCGGGCAAGTCGAAGTCCAACTTCCTACACCTCGAGAGGATTTCGGTCTTCCAGAAAGTGACGTCCGAGAATGACACCTTTGCACCCGGCGACCTGTCCCTCATTTCCACAGCCAGTCGACTGTTCGACGAGCTTCATGACAAGTGCTGGTTGGAATTGATGGAGGACTACTACGACCTCGACACGAGTCCGTCGAAGGGCGTGGTGGACTGGAAAGTGCCCCCTCCCAGTGGGCCGAACGGTAGTTCCGGGGGCGGGGGACCTGGAAGTGGAGGGGATGGGGGTGGTGGCACGGGGGGTGGCAAAGGAATCCCGCCTAGTGGGGAGAGGGGGTCTCACGGCCACAACACGACACCGGGAGGCAGCCGCGGGGTGGCGTGTTTCGCCGTCGACCGGCCTCCGTCGACAGGCACCTGGAGGGAGCATACGACACAGTCCGCCGACCTCCCGACTTCATCCGTGGGCTTAGCGAGGGACACGTTGGCAGCCTTGCTTGCTCTGGGCAGTCGCTCCGGCGGAAAGTTGTAGTCTGCCGGGATCCGAACTATGTCCGCTGAGGAGCCGCCAGAGCGGTCCGGAATGCAAAGCCGCTCGGGGTCGGGGGAGCCAAGCAAGGATCCCGAAATTGGCAGCATTGCGGCGCGGGACGGAAACGTCGAAAAGGTGTCGCCTCAGCAGGAGCGACGGCCGCAAGGATTGCAGTGAGAGGCTGCAAGTACAGGGTCCAGCGACACGGAGACGACGAAGTCTGCCGAGATCCGAACTTCTTCGGGCGGGGGGTGTCGGCCAGGGATTGTCGTGCCGTTGAGAGGGGCAGCGTGCACGGAGACGGAAGGGCGGTCCTCGGGATTCAACACGGGTACCGCGGAAGGGGATGAGTTTCGTGGAAGGGAAGTAGGGGAGAAAATGGAGGAACGGAGGGGAGCGCAAGAAGGGGAGGAAGAAGGGGAGGAAGAAGGGGAAGAAGAGGAGGAAGGGGAGGAAGCGGGAGAAACGGAGCTACTTGATTTGCTTGAAGGAAGGGAGGGTGTCGGATCTGGAGACGACGAAGTGGAGCACAGTGAGGACGATGCCGGATCTGGAGAGTCGTCTGACGAGTTCGGACAACTGTACGGAGAGCATCACGAGGATGATGTCGACGACGATGCCACGGCAATAGAGATGGAGACACAGGTCGTTAGCAGCCTTTCCGCAGAGCCTGAAGATTATGCGGTCCGACCACTTACGTCTGCTGTCGACACCGCTTCGACGAGGCTTCCGTCGTTATCAGCCCGTCTAAAACAAGTCGGCGTATAAGCATCGACGAAGTTATCGACGATATCCTCGGCGACCACAACTTGTCTGCCCATCCGTCCACAATGCTTGACGTCAATGAAACTGGCAACGTCACATCTTCCGTGGCAGCTGCCCTGGCTTCGTCGCCGCCGAAGTCCCTGGTCCTGCCGGCCACCCTTGCCGCAGGAGAGGAAGGCGAGGTCGGGCGACGACAACATGTCATGTCCCCAAAAAAATCGAGGGTCGGCGGTCAAGCTCTCGACGTGCTCGCTTTGCCCGCGCGGAATTCCCCATCGAAGGAGAGGAGAGAGAAACAGACTGGTAAGCCATGAAGAACGCCACACTACCTGCGCGTCCAGATGTCGGCGGATTACAGTCCGCGCTATACACACGACGACTGTCCACACCGTCTGTCGATACGGAAAGTTCCGGATGCCGACATACTACAGCCACCAGCCCTTCCTAATACATCTCGTCGGCTTATAACATAGGATTCGTGAAAACCAGAGAAAAATAAATGTTGGGTTTGCATGAAATTTATAAAGAGTTCAAAAAATGTGTATTCCAAACGCAATTAGAACACTGTCAGACCACATGATGGAAAACGATGAAAAAATGGTAGGAAAAAAAACGATCACGAGAACTCCGTTATAAGGCGACCGCGAAGCTGCTCTTTTCAACCAAATTTCGAGCCAGCAAATGCACGTGTAATTCTGATAACCAAATCCTGACAAAATGTGCACATTTTTTTCCCCTTACGATGTTCGCTTCCTTATACTTGTTGGAAATACTTAAAAACACATGCTTAAACAGTACACCAACACATTCCTTTCCCAGCTTAGCCATTTTTCAACAATGTTAATAAGTTGGCTCTGAATCTCTTCGTCGAGTCATCAATTTTTAAGTTGAAGTGAAACTCCCTTACAGGCCTGCAAGTTTTTCTTCCATTATCCAAACGTTTGTACACTTCTCGGTTCCTCTCAAGGGATTTGTAACAAAAATGTTCAATGCAGAGAGTCGAAAATCATTTGGTGTTAAGATGACTTATCTCTAGGCAAACTTACTGTAGTCCTAATCTGTGGATTGTAGAATCGAAGATCCTTACCAACTCTGAATGTCAGGACTTATAGCCCTATATCCCTGATGTTGAGATCACTGATTTTAGGGCACGCTCACTGTCAAGACTTAGAGCCGTACATCACTGACGGTGAAATCACACATATTTAGGAAAACTGACAGTTTAGACTTATAGCCCTATATCACTAATGTTGAGATCACAGATCTTTGGGCATGCTCACTGTCAAGACTTAGAGGCCTAAATCACTGATGGTGAAATCACAGATCTTTAGGCACGCTCACTGTCAAGACTCAGAGCCCGACATCACGGATGGTGAAATCACATATATTTAGGAAAACTGACAGTTAAGACTTATAGCCTTATATTACTGATGTTGAGATCACAGATCTTTAGGGAAACTCACAGTTAAGACTTAAAGCCCTACATCCCTGATGTTGAGATCACGGATCTTTAGGCACGCTCACTGTCAAGACTCAGAGCCCGACATCACTGATGGTGAAATCACAGATATTTAGGAAAACTGACAGTTAAGACTTAGAGCCCTATATCACTGATGTTGAAATCACAGATCTCTAGGCATGCTGACTGTCAAGACTTAGAGTCCTACATCAGAGAGCGTAGACATCTTTGTGGATGACCCACAAACATTCCAAACGTTTGCTCAATCCACGCATATGCACATACGCACGCACATGGTTGATTGATTGATTGACTGATTGGATGCCATGCCATTAATCAATCAATCAATCAATCAATCAATGTCATAGAGGACTAGAACTGTAAATTGCTTTAAAGAGTCGTTAAAATGTTAAAAATTGTTAAATCCTTGTGAAATACATATGTTTTGCAAACTAATAACACAAACAATTTTATCAATCGATCAATGTCATATAGGACTATAACTTCAAATTCTTTTAAAAAGTC